CACAGGCTTTATTTTACTTTTTTATATCCAAAAGAGCACACTTACTATAAAAAAAAAAAAGGGAGGGGGGGAGACAAGAATAAAGGACACTCACTTGTATAGGCACAAGCAGGCAGAAAGAGCTGTCCCAAGACAGATTTGCTAAAAGAGAGGCCTGCATTTTTACAGGTAGCCAGGAGAGCTACTGCCCATTATATTTCCTTTTATCCAATTATTTTCTCCTAATATTTACGTAAGTAATATATCAAATAACAAAAGTATTAAAAATTACTAATCTACTGTCAGAAGGTAGCTACTAGTAGAATATAAATGATAGAATTTCCAATTTATGAAAGGAAAAAAAGGAATCAAGGAAGATCATTAGCTCAAAAAAATATAACAGAAACAAAAAGTGTACCTTTTATAAATCATTAAATGACAAAAAAAAGACCTGATACATGTTTAACAACAAATGTGAATGGGTTGACTTTCTCTATTAAAACACAAAACTTCTAAACTTAATTTAAAGTCCAGTTATATAGTATATAAAGAGAGAAACCAAAGATAAACCACCTACCCCCATTCAACAACAACAACAACAACAAAAAAGACAGGAGTAGGACAAAATATACCTCAGGAATTCAAACAAAAAGAAAGCAGGAGTATAATTATCAGGTAAGATACACTATATGTGGAAACAAAACATAAGCCTTTTTTCATTGAGGAGAATTAATGAGAAATAAGATTCCCTTTCTGAAAGTTCATTCAACAATCCATTCAACAATTGCTTTGTCATATAGCAGAATATACCAAATGTTAAAAACCCAAATTCAAACACTCTGTATTCTATACTTGTTTTTCCCACTTCCCTAGAGTCTCCTCATCTCAATTCAAGAACATAAAAACATGTCCCAGAGCCTGCCTCTATTAAGAAATCAATGCTACCTCACTAAAAAAAAAAAAAGAAAGAAAGAAAGAAACTGTGGGTCTCTGTGCTGGACCCAGGCTGGGAAGACACTGATTTAGAGAAGTGAAGAAAGGTATTTGAATAGGCTACAATAAAATTTAATTGCTATTGTTTGGGAAGAAAGGATGTCCTGAACAACTCTACAAATAGGTTTTATGGTCCTTACCCTCACCTCAGACCAAAGAGCTTCAAAACACCAAGGACTACAAACCCCATAATGTTATCATCACCAAGGCAGAACTGCTGGGAACTGAGGGTGGAGTTAAGTAACCAGGCTTGGTACATACCCAGACAAGTGGGCCTAGGGGTCCTTGGTCTTTTCCCAACTTTCATCATGTTATTGGGGTCCCAGCTCAGCAGAACTGGTAGGATACATTCACCAGTTTCTTTCTTTCTTTCTTCCTGAGTTATTCATTTGTTTATTCCCCCACCCCACTCCCCACCTTTTTTTTTTTTTTTGGCAAATAAACCTTTTATTACCCTTTATGTGTGTGCCTCATTACAAGTCCCTTTTAAGTGTGCAGGTGAGGACCCACAGTCAGGCTTACCCATTTCATACTGGAGTTGCCCTGTAACAGTATCTTCATAAAATTGATTTGCTGCAAACCCCCTAAACTACTTTTCTTCCCACCTTCTTTCCATTCAGCATGGGTCTTTTTCTCCCCAACACCATTTTACACACAGGGTGTTTGAAATTAGCAGCTTCATAGGTGTGTCTCATTCATGTAGAAGATTTCTTACGGGCCTCCCTGGTGGCGCAGGGATTAAAGTCTTGGGCTATGAAGCTATCGCACCTCTGGCCTACACCCCAGTTATTATATGCATAAATAAATAAATGTTTTTTAAAAAAAGATTCCTTAAGCTAAAAATAAACCTTTTCTGAAACTACTGCTATCAAATAAACACATGATGAAAATGTAACTTATAAAAAAGGTTTGACAATGATGAAATTTAGGTACCAAAACAGCAAAATATCTTTAAATAACAATCAATTTGCTTGTTTGTTCTACAAAATCACAATCATGTTTAATCTCAATCACAATAGCAACAATACATGAAACAACTCAGGACTCTTAATAAAAATATGCAAAACTCCTCATGATCAGTCTGTAAAAAGGTGCAAAAGCCATAATTAAATATGTCAATGAAAAGAAGGCTATTTTTTAATAAGATGAGTAAACTTTATAAAGACACAGTCTTTCTCAACTTCATGCAAAAATTAAATGGAATTCAAATTAGAATTACATTTTTTTTCCTTTTTTGATGCTACTGCTGCTGTTAGAACTTAATAATTTATGGGCTCTCCCTGATGGCGCAATGGGTTAAAGTAGAGCACTATGAGGCCCATTGCAACCACTGCAGCACAGCTTCAATCCTCTGCCAGGGAGGTGACCCACATGGTGCAGCAGACTTCTCCTGTCTCCCCAGGGGTCCCCTCAACAGTGTATTTCAGTCAATCTGCCTGTTCTGCTTTCCACTCTGTCTCTGATGCATTCTCTCACTGCCCCTGCAGCTCTGGCCTGTACCCCAGTTCTGTATACATAAATAAATAAATCTTCAAAAAAGATTATTGTTAAGTTAAAAAAAAACTTAATAATAATTTAAAAAATTTGACTAGAAGGATAAATGCATAAGAACAGCAAACCAAATCTTGAAAAGGAAAATAAAGGGAAATTTGCTTTGCAAAGCAGTAAAATAAATTTCGAAAACAAAAGTGTGATACTATTACAGCAATACAACAATGGAAAAGAATCCAGAAAAATGTATTTATATTTAGAAAAAGTGTTTATATTATGTGTTTCTACATATTACATAAGTTCAAAGAGTTTAAAGGTAGCATTTCAAATCTATGGAGGTTAAGTAGCTTATTCAATGGATTCCATGGGTTCAAGTGTCCTCTCCTCAGAGGTGCCAGTTATGTGGTGGATAACTAAAATAGAACCACACTCTATCACACCACGTGTTGTGTGGCCATCATAGCATTTAACCATTGTCCTTTGTACTATTTTCTCTTTATTGTCTGCCTGGTCTCTCCAGAAACTAAGACCTAAACGAAAGGGACCTTGCCTGTAATCTTTATTTCTATTCTTCCCAGCATTCAGAACAGCACTTAGTACATGGTAGACCATTGACAAATATCTGTTTAATGAATTGATTATGAAATGACTCACCACACTATATTACACTAACTTAGGACCCAACCTCATATCAATCAATACAATACAATACATTTAGCTCAAGAATGTAAATTTAAAATGAAACTAAAATAAAATGTAGAAAAATATAATCTTGGGGTACAGAAAGTCTTCCAAAGCCAAACAAAGGGAAAGGAAATTTAGCCACATAAAATTCAAGACTTAATTGTAGTAGAATATATTACAAACAAAATTTTAAAAAATAACAGGACAATACTGGTAACTTAGGGCAAAGAATATCTATGTTTTATAAAAAAAATTTAACACATAAACAATCCCATTCAAAGTGGATGTAGGATACAAACAGAACAGCATTTAAAAGAATGTGCACCCATAGTTACTTATTAGGGGTTGAGACATGGAATTGTATCCCATAGCTTTAAAAAAAAAAAAAAATTACAAGCATATGCTTAATTATATAGAGAAGAAGATAAAATTTGAAGGCAAATACGAGCTGCATTGGGCAATTCACAGATCAATGGCCCATATGGGAACAATGAGAATAGAGTAAAAAAAGCTCCAATGCTACACTGATATCTCCCAAATCAGGTCAAATAATTTCATTGAATTTATAGTCTTCATAATCTTTTCTAGTTAACATTTTAGTTCTCCCCATTTTAGTTACTTATTTCAGAACATCACCTATTACTGTGCAGCTCCAAATGATTAGTAATTCAGAGAAGCAGCAAAACTGAAGAAATATGTGTAGTCAGCTGAGGTCAAGAATCTAAAGTTCACCAATAAGGGCTGGTTGTATAAATTATGGTGTACCCTCACAATGGGGAAAAGAAGGTGCTTAAGTACTAATATGGAGTGGCATCAACAATAAGTTGTAAAATGAAAGAAAAAGGATGCTTTCTAACTTAATAATACTTTAGGATTCCCTCTCTGTACCAATCACTGCTATAGTCCCTTCTACTCTAAATTCCCAAACAGCAAGCTCTTGACTGCAAAAGTTAAGAATGCTAAATACTCTCTTTGGACCTTCAACATTTCAGGAACCATGCTAGGTATTTTTTACTCATATTATTCCCTTTAAACTTTCAACAAACTTATGAAATAACTTTAATATTAATATTACTTAATATTAATATATTTTAATAGTATTAAGTGAAGCCATGTGAAATTCTTACCAATTAATGCTGTTATTTCTATCATCATTATGAGGAACTCATGCTTCAGGAAAATGTTGCATTTGCTCAAGACAATAGTAACAATGGTAGAGTAAAAATGGTAGAGTATGGATTTAAACTTCGGACACTCGAATTTCATTATTCCAAGCCCCTCTAGTTATCCCTATCTAATCCTAACTTTTGGATACCCCATTGATTCCCTTTTCTAGGTCTCAGAATACAGACAATAAGAGTACCTAGCCATAGTTGTTCTTATTATCAGACTCATGTATAATCACTATGACTGTGTCCTATACAGATTGATCTCTCACATGTTCTCTGAGAGGTCAGGACCTAGAAGCACCAGAACCATCTCTTATCTGATTTTTGTTATTTTTCTGACCCACTGTGGAGGTGGCAGCTGAGAAAAGAGCTGAGGTACACTAGGGAAGGCTTGTGGAAAAGAGCCAGCATTCTAGATCTCAATAGGGATTTTGGCACTGAAGTTCATGTACCAACAGCTCTGCCCCATTATCTACAAATAGACCATTCCCAATTTCTATGATTTCTTAGTTTATTTTTGGGCTGGGGAACACTATTACCATTAATTTATGTGGAAGACATTTTTGAGCCTTCCCAAATCCCAAAAGTAATCTACCAAATTATACCAAATAGGAATGTTCTACTTTGGAATAGTGGGGTAAGCCGTACAGAAGTTAGAGGCAAGTCTGAGAAAAATGAGCTCACCTGAGCTCCAAGTGTGAGAGGCCTAGCAGCCATTGCTGTCTCCTTCCTTCTGAGCAGACAGAGGGTCCAGAGGAGGCAGAGCTAAGGGAAAGAAAAGGAGTTACAAGAAATGAGACTCCCGCAACAACAAACAATTTTAAAACTACACATAAACCAAAAAGGAAGTGCATAGCTTCTGCATAGAGTACCATTTTTATTTATTGAATTTATCTTACTAAGCTTATTTAGACAGGCCATACTCCTGGAAATGTAGTGACAGTATCCTAAACTGTCATTTTTTTTTTAAGATTTACTTATATATGCAAACAAGAACTGGGGTGCAGGCCAAAGGTGCAGGAGGGTGAGAGGATTCACCAGAGACCAGAGAGCAGAACAAGCAAATATGCTGAAATACACTGCTGAGGGAAGCAACACGTAGGTCAGAAGAGGCCTGCTATGCCATGTGGGTCAGCTCCCTTGCCAGGGATAGAACTCATGCTGCAGTGGCTGTGGATAGCTTCAAAATGCTGCACTTTAACCTGCTGTGCCACAAGGGTGGGCCCTAAACTGTCATTTCTTTGAAATTAATTTATAAACATAGCAAATTCCCAACCAAGCTATACCTATGTAATTATGTCTTCAATTAATTATGTAAAAAGTGCTTATTTTAAAGTTATTTGGCATAACATCAGTACTTTCGAAAAATACTAATGAGCAAGAACTTTCCTGATAAGCTATTACAAAGCTATATTAATTAGAACACAGTATTACTGATTTTACCTGCTGACCACCTACTGTGTACCAAGTACTATCCCTGAGAGGAGGAGAGACTACAACTATCTATAAACTCTGACCTCATGGATAGTATAATCTAAAAGGAAAAGGGGTCAGTGACACAAACAAAAGCCTTACCAACATGATGATTAAGAAAAAAATCTAAACATAAGAATTCAAAATACAAAAGAAGTGACATCCTACACCAGAGATGAAAGGATGACTTTCACCCTTTGGTAAAAATCTTATAGAATGAAACTAAAAGATCAGCAGAAAAGGCAGACAAACATTTTTGTGGCAATATGGACTATAAGGCTCCTAGCGATGATGTCAAAGACCCAAATATGAAAGGGAGATTTTCACTCCTGACTATATGAAATTGTAATACATGCTTGTGTACCAGAAACAAAATTTATTTAACTTTTTTTCCTCCATCAAACCCAAACACAAAATGTAAAAGCAAACTGCCAGTTATGTAAAAATATTCATTAGACTCATAATACAAATCCCTGTCACTTGCAGCTCTCAGAATTGGAGAATAATTAAACCAGAGTTGATGTCTGTCAGACACCCTTACACTCTAAGTGTTCATAACCTACTTTTCTGGAGAAAATGAGAGGTATTAAGGTCTTACATTATCTTTGGCCCACACATTTCATTGAAGACATATACAGAATGAGACAATTTTGCAAAGATAAATGTAATTAGGTAGCCTGTATTGTGTAGAGTACTGAAAACAGCAAAACCTGAGCAAGAACAGGAAGGCCAAAAGAGGTTAAATATTGCAGTTATACTTTTCCCTCACAGTCATTAAAATGATGATCTGGATGTTTTTAAAAATTCATACAAAGGGCCCTCCCTGGTGGCGCAAAGGGTTAAAGCACAGCACTGAGAATCTAAAGCCACTTCGGCATGAGTTCGATTCCCGCCTGCCCCGGAGGTGACCACATGG